TCAGCTCCAGCCATCGCCGTGAACAGAGAACCGAGGATCCCCGCCACTCCCCCACCAGTAGCGCCTACCAACCCAACACTGATCGACGGTTACTCGCCTACATCCAGTCCTCACTCATCTTGCCCGATATCGCATTCTTGATGCCAGCCTGGCCCTTATTGGCCTGCTCCTCGAGAGCATGAGCCCCCGACTCCACCTCGGCACCAAAGTTCTTCACCAATGCTGATAGGACAATACTCCTCCAATGATACACGAGTAACGTCACCTCCTATCTCGTCTCTGGTCAGACCGATGTCCTCGGACAGCTTCTGGAACTCTCCCCATTTCCCAGCACGTCTCTCTATAAAATCATGGTGAGGATACCATCCTAGCAATGGCAAAGACTTTACTCTGGAACTCGATCTCCTGCTGGGCTGCCCTCTCCTTGGCTGCAGCTAAGGCGTTCGTGACGGTTCCCTACACAAACACGGACAGTGAATTCACAAGAGCAACTCCTAAGGAGCTCCAATGACATAACGACAAACACCATAATGGGACCGAACTCCGAGAGAAGGAGGAAATGATATCGACGTATACCCGAGCTAGCTCCAATTCATCCCTTTCTTTGCCAATATTCGCATTCATCTTCTCCCGACGAGTGTCCTCTTCCGCCTACAGCAAGAACACTCCGAACAGTATCAACAACAAGAACAACAACAAAAACAACAACAAAAGCAATAACGATAACAATAACAACAACAACGACAAAAACAACAACAATGACAGCAATAAGAACGAAAATGATTAGTTTACCGAAACACTCTGTTAATCCTTACCTTCCAGTCCGCCGCATGATTCTCGATTTGCTTCTTAGTGGCCTCCTCGAGCTGTGCCGCTTCCTTGTTAGCCTTCTCCCTACCAAAGACTATCACATGACCACCACCATCCCTTCACCTCAATGACCCTTACTCATATCCAGCCACATTCTTCTTTAATTCTGCCTCGCCCTCGTCCTCCGTCTTACGCAGTTCACTGCGTATCTCCTCGGCCGCCTTATCCCGCTCATCCGCGTCCTTCACCGGCACCTCAGCAAGCTGATCTAAACGGAAAAACTTGTCTCATTACTATTAATATGAAGACAGAGGATATATTAGAGTTTCACCCGTTTTACGTGAAGTGGCCCAATACTCTGTGACAATCACGATGTTCGCAGTAGTCGTGAAACATATTTTACACTAGGGTTCTTCATATCACTAGGGTGAAACTCCATTATATTGTACACGACATCCTAATATAATACGTCAACAATATATAGTGATATCACTAGTGTAGTTCTAGTAAAAAATAGTTCGTATAATGCGTGTTAGCCTTTTTATATATTCATAGTATTAGCAGTAAGTCATGTCCAATGTAATGGCTACCACAACCATCCTGAGCATGCTTATCAACGCTATCCTTACCTGCTATGTTCGTCAGAGTGTTTTCCGCATCCTCTAAAGTTTTCTCGGCTGTCTCCTCCAGAGTTTCCTTTTGATGTACCACACTTCTAGCAGCTCGTTCCACCTTCACCTAAACACCAACAAACTCTCCTCAGATGGAATCAAAGAGAGGCCGTGATTTGACTATGGTCAGTACAAGAGAGGATACATACTTGTATGTTGTTTATGCCCTTAGCCAACTTCCCAAGCTTCTCATTAGCATCTCCGTTGAGCCGTAGCTGATTCGCCATTTGATCATTAGCCTGGGTGGCCACCATGTTCTGTACTCCCGACATCAACTGAACAACAAGAACAATAAGACAACAATCAAATACCACTCGTCTCTCAACTCACGCCCAACTACTTACCGAGTTGAAGGCATTCACCGCACCACTCTTCAAGTCATCTATATCCGCTGCATATCCGAAATGGATCTTGTCGAACTCGGCCCAGATCTCATCGGCTGCAGTCACCTAAGCACGACGACAATCATCATCATGATGATCCCTTCCAGCCGCCTCCCATAGTTCGACATACCGTTGCAGCATGCAGCTCATACAAGGCAGCCGAGGTAAGGCCAATCTTATGCGTCAATCCATCAGTAGTAGATGGGTCAGCCTTAGAGCCGCCTCTCCCATCTGAACGACTGCTATTATACCCTCACAACAGTCCTCTACTGTCCCTTACATGTATACCGCATTAGCTTGTCCAAAGTCGTCTCCGTATTATTCCACTCGACCGCAAGAGTCTGACAACATCAATAAGGCACCTTCTACTGTGATCTCATCAGCCACCTTACACTGGCATTAACCCGCATATCTTTGGCTTGGTCATGGACCGACCGCTGCGGGCCGAACTGCTCTCGTATCATCTTATATCTGCGCACAGCGAAGATTCTCGCAACAATGAGCATCCCGCATATTCCCTCACCTTCTAATGTGACAGTCATAATTATCAGCATCCGAATAGACTCCCAGCATTTCGCATGCCCTCACCCCAGCCGCCTCGCCCCTCCTTCGTCTCGACTTGTGCATCAGCGTCATT